GATAATACATACACTAACCCAAGTTGTACTGATGACCTTTGAATAGGCAAAACTACAGTCCATAGCAGAGGGTATGGCCAATCAAAGAATGTATTAGTACTCTACTTCACAGATTGTCTTTTCATTTTCACCTTTAATTAATACCTAAGTAGCCAGAGAGTTGGCAGTGAGTGCTGCCAGCCAGTTGCCTTCACTCTAGTCAACAGTTCAAAGTTTCTAACAAAGGCAGATAGTCTTAATAGCTGTGCAATAACAAAGATGAGGGAGCAAGTTTAGTGGCAATGGAAATTGAACCCAAGACTCTCAAATCACAAGGCATACCACCTTCTCTTTGGACAACTGAAACTAACTAAAAGTTATACTCAGAAACCATAATTTCTATTAGTGGGTTATTTTTATGACAATCAATTTAATCTTAAATCTGATTAATCAATTGTAGGAAAGACCTGAAATATTAATTTCAATTATTTGATTAATCAAGTATTTAACGTAACATAACCAATGTAATAACTGCTCATAGATAACCAATTATATTGGTTAATTAAATAAACCACACAGCTCTAATTGACACAAGTGGTACCCACTTAGGTGTTCAACCATGCTATAGTATCCTATATGTAGCTAAAACAATGTTGATGTATTGAACTCTGCATACTAATTTACTTTACCTTTAAATAAAAACAAGTACAGTACTACTACATATAAAAGTCAAGACCTTATTAAAGCTAAGATTTAACAGTACTGATAAAATAAAAGCCTCAAATGAGATTCTGCTTCAACTTGTATGTGTATCCATGCAATATACATAATAAACATACAAAATTCCAAAAACATTGTAAACTGATCAGTACGTTTCTCAAAGTTATTTCAAAATAAATCAAACCAAGTAAATAGGTATAACAAAATGTTATATGAAAACATGTTTATTAAAAACATTGTTTAAATACTTTCAGCACCAAACAAAAACAAAAACGTTTCTTGACTTTCATTACCTAGAATTTTAACTTAAACCAGGCAAGTTTTCCTCTTGGACTGACTATTTGACATGGAAAAAAAAAAAATGGAAGCCTTGTCTTTAAGTTGTAGAAACATGCAAAGTACCTGATCATGTAATTTCTAACCAAAAGCAAAATCTTGCTGAACCAGTTTGTGATAAGGTTTTAGTAAATATTTGTCATGCTAACATGACGTCATTTCCTTTTATTTTAGTCTATAATGCAGTGAGCAACATATCTAAGAAAAATTGAGGTTTCACAAACATCATTTTACACATTTACAATACCATACTTTAGGTATTGTACATATTGTTACTTGGTTAATTTTAATATTAGAATCTTGTTAAAATTAGTTCAGTATCATACAAAGTAGTATCTACAAAATAACTTCCGCATACCTTTCTTTGCACCATGATTTTTGTAAATGCATCGGCTATTTACAAATGAAAACTAAAACCAACGTATTCTTATGGTACAGATAATTTTCAGAATGTATATTATATTAATAAGAACCTGATATACATATAATGACCAATAACAACATGGGTCTTACAGTACAGATAATTTTCAGAATGTATATTATATTAATAAGAACCTGATATACATATAATGACCAACAACAGCATGGGTCTTACAGTACAGATAATTTTCAGAATCCTTATTAACAAGAACTTTCTTTAATGACCAGTAATAATACAGGTCTTACAATGCAAATCATTTTGTGATTGTTTAAGGATAATAAGTTTCTTTAGTAGCCAGTAACAATATGGATCTTATAGTATGAACTGTTCCCTGTACATTTAACGATAAAAACCTCCTGTATCAGTAACTATATAGTATGGACTGTTCCCTGTACATTTAACAATAAAAACCTCCTGTATCAGTAACTATATAGTATGAACTGTTCCCTGTACATTTAACAATAAAAACCTCCTGTATCAGTAACTATATAGTATGAACTGTTCCCTGTACA